AGTAACGAATAAGTTTTATTGCCCCTTTGTTTTCGTTTCCCCCTTCTCCCATCCCACGCAAATATTTTTTTTCTTTTCTTTTTTGTTTCTCGTTCTCTTGTCCCTGTGTGTTCCCTGTGTGTAGTTATTTTTTATCTATTGCGGTGGTAGTTGCCCCGCAATGGATGGTAATAGTGATGGCGGGGGGAATACCCTTCCTGCCCTTCCCACTGAAGACGAACTGTCCGACGTGGAAACGACAGCCACGGTGACGAAATACACCGGAACCATCCCGAAGTGGCCCAGGCAAAAACGAGCACCGGAGCCCGTACCGTCTACCCCATCTCCTCCTACCCCGCCTAATCCATCGCCACCAACACCACCAGCACCTCTCCCCCCGCACTAAACCCGTTTCCCCCTACCCCACCTAATCCCTCAACCCACCACACCGCCAAAACCGTCTCCCCCTACTCCACCTAACCCCGCCAAGAAAACAAAAACTGCCCCCCGCCATTAGGCATACCCAGACGCCTCGACAGGCCCATGGGTTGTTTTGTTCCGGCCCAATCAAAAACCGCTTAACATTAATCAGATCGAAAAAGATCTGTTTAAACGTTTCTCGTCCGTGACCGACATTTTGAAGGTAAGGCCAGACAAACTGCGCGTCACTGTTGGTAACCGCAAGCAGGCGAATGAGATCGTTGCCTGCGAGCTTTTTACGTTGGAGTACCGCGTTTACATTCCCAGTCGTGACGTGAAAATCGAAGGAGTGGTCACTGAAGCGAGTTTGACCTGCGATGACTTCTTGAAGAGCCCCGTTCTTCCAGAAGTCAAGATTCTTGACTGCACCCAAATGCAGTCAGCATCCCTCGACGGGACAAAAAAAAATCTACTCGCTGACTGACTCGTTTCGAGTGACTTTCTCCGGATCGGCTCTGCCGGATTACGTCCGAATTGGGAGGATTCGACTTCCTGTGCGGTTGTTTGTACCAAGGGTGATGAACTGCACCAAGTGCAAACAATTAGGCCACATGCGACGATTTCAATATGACCATTCTAAACACCGGTGAAGTAACTCGAGTAGCCAAACCTCCAGCAAGAGAGAGCAGACTAGACTTGTCACTCTGTTCGAACTCACTATCATTTGATTGCATGTGGGAGGTAATCCCAGACCCCTATGGTAGTGATCATTTGCCCATCAAAATTTCGATTTCCAACGGTTCATCTTCACAGTGTCCAATCAACATCGCGTACGATCTCACGAGAAACATCAATTGGGAAGAATACGCGAACGCGGTCCGTGACGGTTCAGAATCGGTCGACGTTCTCTCTCCGTTGGATGAGTACTCCTTCCTATCGCGGCTCATAGTGGTATGCGCGCTTCATGCACAAACGAAGCCTGTTCCTGGCACTACCATTCTCAAACGTCCTCCCACTGTGTGGTGGGACCAGGAATGCACCGACGTGAATAACGAGAAGCCTACCGCGTTTAAACAATTTCGTAAATACGGTTCCCGCGAATACTCTGAGCGGTATACGGAGCTAGAGGAAAAGTTTAAGAGCTTGGTCAGGGCCAAAAAACGCGGTTACTGGCGTCGGTTTGTCGAAGGGCTATCGTGAGAGACTTCCATGCAAACGCTCTGGAATGTCGGCAGGAGAATGCGTAACGCGGCATCGTCGGTCAACTAGGACAAGGAGTACTCTAAAAAGTGGATTTTCGACTTCGCGCGTAAGGTTTGTCCCGATTCGGTTCCGGTTCCACTCGCGATCCGCCGCTGGAAAAGGATGACATGGACTCACCGTTTTCGATGGTAGAATTCTCAATTGTTCTTCTTTCATGCAATAACTCGGCTCCGGGAATGGATCGAATCAAGTTCAACCTGCTCAAGAACCTCCCAGACGTCACAAAGAGGCGATTGTTGAACTTGTTCAATCGATTCCTGGAGCTCAACGTTGTTCCAGATGATTGGAGACAAGTGAGAGTTATCGCCAACCAGAAGCTCGGTAAACCCGCGTCGGATCATAATTCGTACAGTCCCATAGCGATGCTGTCGTGTATTCGGAAGCTGTTAGAAAAAAATGATTCTTCTTCGTCTAGACAAGTGGGTCGAGGCGAATGGCTTACTCTCAGATACGCAATTTGGATTCCGTAGAGGCAAAGGGACGAGCGACTGCCTTGCGTTGCTTTCAACTGAAATCCAAGTAGCCTATGCTGAAAAACAGCAGATGGGCTCAGTTTTCTTGGACATTAAAGGGGCGTTTGATTCTGTTTGTAACGACATCCTTTCGGACAAACTCCATGCAAGTGAGCTTTCTCCGATTATCAACAATTTGCTGTTTAATATGTTTTCGGTCACTTTATGGGGTGGCTTTCTCAGTCTTTTAGTCGGAAATTGCACGAATCAGCGTGGCGTGGTTTCCGTGGTTGGACCAACAGCACTGGACCTGCAAGGACCATTGCAAGATACCTTGGATAATTTGTCTACTTGGGCAATGAATCTGGGTATCGAATTCTCTCCAGAGAAAACAGAGATGGTTGTTTTTTTTCTAGGAAGCTTTATCCAGCACAATTTCAGCTTCAACTTATGGGTAGAACAATCACTCACAGCATGTCGTTTAAGTATTTAGGTGTCTGGTTTGATTCCAAGTGCACTTGGGGAAAACACATAGCGTATCTGAGGCAGAGATGCCAACAGCGAATCAATTTCCCTTCGTTCCATTACCGGCTCTTCATGGGGAGCCCATCCGGAAGATCTGATAAGACTCTACAAGACCACCATTCTCTCGATTTTGGAGTACGGTAGCTTTTGCTTTCAATCGGCGGCGGGGACGCACGTATTGAAGCTCCAACGGATTCAATATCGTTGCATTCGAATCGCGCTAGGTTTTATGCAATCGACGCATACCATGAGTCTTGAAGTTCTTGCGGGCGTCCTCCCCTTAACAAATCGTTTTGCGGATTTATCGTTCCGATTTCTCATCCGCTGTGACATCGGCCCCTCCTCGTTCAACCCCAATCGCGCTGTCTCCCATCATTTCAGTTGTTCTTCCATGAGATTCGATCTCACAATAAGGCAGGATATTCAAGGAATTCCAGAGCCTTACCGTTCCCTGATTGTCCCAATGAATGGTGATAAATGCGTCCACTGGTTTTGGAGTATTCCACGATCTTCATAGCGCCTCATACAAGCTTCAAAAGCCGTGTTCGGTATACATTGCTGAACTAGTAGCTATATCGTACACGTTAGAGCGTATTGCCTCACTTCCACCTGACCATTATTTCATTTTTACGGATTGCCTAAGCTCCCTGGAGGCTATACGTTCAAAGAGGCTGATGAAGCACTCGGCGTATTTCCTCCAGGAAATACGATCGTCATTGAGTGCTTTATCAAACAGCTCACATATCATCACCTTGGTATGGGTCCCTTCTCATTGCTCTATCCCAGGAAATGAGAAAGCGGACTCGCTGGCCAAGGTGGGCGCTATGAAAGGCGATATTTACGAGCGACAAATCGCCTACCACGAATTTTTCACGATTTCTCATCAGCAAGTCCTCGCCAACTGGCAACAAAAGTGGAATGATGGTGATCTGGGAAGATGGCTACATTCTATTGTCCCACAGGTGTCGATCAAACCCTGGTTCAAAGGGTTGGATATGAGTCGTGATTTTATTCGTGTAATGTCCAGGCTCATGTCCAATCACTGTTCGTTAAACGCCCACCTCTTCCGTATTACGCTCGCCGACAGCAACTTATGTACCTGTGGAAACGGTTATCACGACATCGAGCATGTTGTTTGGTCCTGCTCCTTGCATCATGAGGTGAGATCCGTTCTGTGTGGTTCCCTTAGGGTCCGAAGAAAACAACCTTTTAAGCCAATTATAGACCGTGATATCGACTTTATGAAGCTTATTTACGACTTTCTTAAAGCTGTTATATACATCAATGTTTTGTGTTTTAGTCAACCTTTACGTTTAAGTTTTAAATTAGTTCAAAATGCTTTCCCTTGTCCTCCCTCCAAATGATCAATAAATTTAATCCCTAATCTCGAGTAAGCCGCGAGTAATCGGCCCCCGTTCTACTAACATTAATTGTAAGAAATATATAAAAATTATGTAAAAAATATTCGGCTCCGTAAAGCTAACGCATTTGAGACTTGACAAATAAATGGATTATAAAAAAAAAACTCTGGACGACGCGTCCTGGTGGAGCTGAAATTTGGTACAAAATGGGAATCAGTACTTTGCGAGGTTTATACGGGAGCCAACACTAGTTTGATTGGCCACGGGTGTCTTCCGAAGCTTTCTGGTGTTCAGGATCCACAGCTACTTTCGTCAAAATTCCGCTTACAGAATTTCGGCGGCAGTCTCATAGCAGTGTTGGGCCAAGTTAAGGTACCATGTCGTCGCTTGGTCAGAAAATTTGTTCTCGTTTTGCAAGTGGTGTATGCCGATCACCGTCCCATTACAGCGTCGCAATCTAACCGTCCTAGAACAGAAATTCCGGCATATTCCGTAATATCAGGTCTTTTAGTATGTTTATAACAATAAGAGTAATGGTATTTATACGAATGGTATGTACAATTAACATCGGCGCGTAAGCGTGATTACCTCTCACCCCAGCAGGCGTGGGTTCAATCCCAGTCGGCGCTGCCAGGATGTTCTGAAGCATAACATCTCTGATCAGGGAAGTAAAGCCGTTGGTTCATGAGTTGATGGGTCGATAGGTAGGATCCAGGTCTGGGAGCTGCCTCCTTGGCGTCGGTAGCATTGGTGCTCAGCACGGAAAACAAGATCGACGGAAAAACAAATCAAGGAAAAAAAACATCAACGTCAATAAAACGCTTGTAAAGAAGTATCTCATGAGAGCTTTCGAATGGAATAACGAAATTGACATCGGGTTCTTACAGGAGGTGACTTTTGAGGATTTTGGGTATCTCCCCCCTCATAACGAAAATTTGAGAGCTTGCGACAGGTGTGTTACAGAGATTGATTAAAGGGTTTTACGGCTCTTTCAGTCTTTTTAGTGCTGTTGGTTGGATCTAGCAGATTGTTTGGATGGTGCTGTGTCTTGCCGGACTGGAGGTGTTTGCTGTTGTTGATCCTCGTCGGCTGATGTTATGCTAGGCGATTGGCGATGTTCGGTCATGCGATTTATCAGACGGTGTCGTAGATGAGCAGGATAGTGATTGAGTCTGAGCTGGTTGTCGATGATGATTGCATTTTCCTCGTCTGATTGGTTGGTGGATAGTCGGTAGACTCGGCTGATGAAGTTTTTGGCAACATTCAGTTTCATGCTCATGGGATGGTACGAAAGGAAATCAAGAAAACGTCCGCTGGCGATGGGTTTCATGTACCATTCTGTTTTTATCCGCTGGTTGTCCTGTCTGACGAGCAACATGTCCAAAAACGGTAATTTGTTGTTCACTTCCAACTCGTGTGTGAACTGGATGTGAACGTCATAGCTGTTAAATACGTTTAGAATATGCTGTAATTTTTCAATTGGTATCGCTGTTATCAGGTCATCCACATATTTGCGGTGGTTTGAAGTCCAATTTGCGCATAATCATGTCCAATAGGCTTTCCATTATCAAATCAGCAACTATGAGTGATAGTGGGTTGCCCATGGCCGTTCCAAACACCTGTTCGTAGTACTTCCCATCGTATACGAAGTAGCTGGATCATACGCAGAAGTTAACCAGCTCCAGGAACAGATCCAGGTTGATGATCGTGTGTGGCATTATCTTGTTCCATCGCATGATGATGTCGTGTTGAATAAGTGGGATGGGGATTGATGTGAAAAGCGATTTGACATCGAGCGAAATCAACACGTAGTTGGGTGGTAGTTCAACTTCATTGATGAAGTGGCAGAATGAAAAGGAGTCTTTTATGTTGTATGGACTGTAGATGGATTTTTGAATGATCTGACCAACATATTTGGGCAGATTGTACGACGGTGCTGTCATATTTGGCACTACTGGCCTGAGTGGTAGTCCTTCCTTATGCGCTTTCGGCTGTCCATATATGCGCGGGCATACAGCTTTATAGGTTTTCAAAGTTCTCGCTGTTCTGATATCAATCAGTTTCAAGTCTAGGAGCCGTTTGACGAGGTTGTTGTTCCGTGTTTGATTTCTCGATGTCGGATCCCGTTGTACAAGTCTGTAAGTTGCTTGATCGCCTACCATGTCTAGCATCTTACGCCGATAGTCGTCTGCCTGGATGAGCACCGTTTTGTTTCCTTTGTCCGACGGAACTATCAGTACATCGGAGTTTGCCTTGACGAAGTTCTTCGTAACGCGTTCAGCATGATTGAGGAATTTGTCCAGAGGATCTGCATGTGTTTGACCGTGTTTGATGTGATGGATGTAGTTCGTGATTAGGTTGGCTATGCCGATTTCAGTATCGCTATTGGTTTTGAGGATGCATTCGACGTCTGCTAGGAGATGGTAGATTGGGGCTTGATGTACGGATGTAACGGGGAGCGCGAATTGTGGTCCGAGTGATAGCAGTGTTTCCATCTCTGCCGGTATTTGTTTTTCGGTTCCATAGTGTAATGCTTTCGGATTGATTTGTGGTTCGCTTGTACTGGGACTCGTTCTTGTTGCTTGCAGTATTCTGTTAAACTTCTGTTTAGTCTTGACGGCTCTTTTCTCTATGCTTTTTGATCTGAACTTGGACTGGTTAGCGATGAAATTGTATATGATTTCTTCTGGAATGCCAGATGCTCTGATCTGGTCAGCAGTGGTAGACAGACGTTGCTTTAATTGTTTGATTTTGAAGAAAGTCTGTTGGATTTCTATGCCGAGGACAGCCTTCTTAAACTGAGTTACACAGCGGCTCAGCTTGTTAGTGTACGGGCCGTTTTCTTCTAGAAGTGAGTATATGAAACGAAAGTTGTTTGCAATGTGCGCCGGAAAAACACCTTGTTTCCGACATCTGATGAGGAAAGACTTTCTGTTTGCCATGCTTGCGATTTTGTTGTTTGTGTTGGCGTAGTCTTTGCAGCACAATTTGGCTTGCGTACCGTAGATATTTTCTAAATTTTGATAGAACGTTGTATGAGGTGGCCATGTTACTTACGAAAATTTGAGAGCTTGCGACAGGTGTGTTACAGGCAGGCATGGAAAATCATTTGCATTCATTCAATGCATTCATTTACATTCATTTGCCCCTAACTTTTTTCATCGACAGAATTCCGCAAAATGATGTATTGAGCTTTTGTAGGTTTTGTTATTAGCTACAATTTTTGTTAAAAACACAAATCCGTATCTCTTATGCATGACGAACCAGAGCAAACAGAAACCACTACTGTTTTTCAGTGAATGTATTTCGAGTAACGAGTTCTGCTTGCTCTTATTCGTGATGCATAAGAAATACAGATTTGAGTTACTGGCAAAAGTTGTAGTTAATGAAAAAACCTACAAAAGTTCCATACATCATTTTGCGGTATTCTGTTGATGAATAATGTTAGGGGCAAATGAATGCAAATGAATGCACTAAATGAATGCAAATGATTTTCCATGCCTGGTTACAGGGATTGATTATAAGGTTTTACGGCTCTTTCAGTCTTTTTAGTGCAGCAAAAACGTTATATTGCTTCAACTCTCTGACGTTTCGGTCATATATTTCATCATTTTCAGGGATTTCTACAATTGTATATTAAGAGGATTTAGAAAATTGGTTGTGTGGCTTACAGTGGCTACGTTTTTTTGTTAAGTGTATGCGGGGTTTTACATAAATCCGTCTTTGATTATTGATGGCGTCCATCTACGGCTACAATACAAATTCGGTTAGATTTAATGTTGGTTAAAAAGCACAGTTGCTTAGGTAGTGTTTTAAAAACTAAGCGGAAAAAAGCCTAACGTAACAGGGAAACACATAGTTGTGGAAACGCGCTTAGTAAGTTGGGTGTAGAGTAGAGCAAAACAAGAATTAAATCTAACCGAATTTGTATTGTAGTCGTAGATGGACGCCATAAATAATCAACTTCCTACCTTGTTCGACTCTTATTCCCCTTCGATCCTTGTTTGGACCCTACCCGAGGTAATCTTGCATGTATATCGATTTGGAAAATTCCTCTTCGATCCTTCAGATTCTTATAGTAATCTGCTTGGAAGTCGATTTGGATAAAAAATTACTGCCGCCATGGAACCTAAACGCAATCTCTTGATCCCCCTTCTGATGAAATTAATTTGAGTAATCAATTTGATTTGCTCACGAATGATGAGAATGATCCATCATCTAGCAAAAAATCTAGTTACCTTTCCACCTGGTCAAACCAAGTGAAATATCTTGGATTAGTACTTGACCAAAAATTAACTATTAAAGATCACATTGAGGGAATTCAAGCCAAATGTAACAAATATATTAAATGTTTGTATTCTCTTATAAACAGGACATCTAAACTTTCCCTGACGAATCAACTTTTAATATTTAAACAAGTTTTAAGACCGACCATGCTTTACTACACTACCAGGAAACAAAGCACTTCAAAGGATTCCCGTTCTGATTGGCCTTTCAGAATGGTTCAACGGAAGTATTTACTTATGTTTTATACAAATCGTATCAATTTTCCGTCCTATCGTATATTTAAGTGATCTACGCCAGCACCCCATTTCATTCAGGCTCTTTGGAACGACATGTAGTGACATATGAAACGCACCTTTTAAAGTGAATTGCACATAACAATGGCCAATGTCATCACTTACTCACACATGAAATCTGCTTCGATCAACCTAAGGGCGTACCCTCACTGAACCAAAGTGCAGAGCATTTGTAACCATTTATAGTTGTCATTAATTGGTTGTTGAAATTTTCAAGTAAGTAGAAAATTTTATATTTGTATTTTCACAACCAGGGGTTGTCACATTAATGGCACTTCTGTTTAATTTTCTGTTTAACCTTCTGTTTAATTTTCACACTGCCGTACTCTAGCGGAGCTATCAATCTATCCTCTTCAGAACTTTCTATAGCTAATAAATTATCGCACTAAAGCTTCATGTTGACATTAGTACAGCATTTCCTCCTAACTTTGAAAATCGTAAAATTCACGTACGAATTAACAACACACTTTGATTGAATGCAGGGGTAGTATGCGATGAACTGAAATGAAACCGTCCTAAGGTGGTTCGCATATCTAGTTGTAATGAATACGTTCAAGATGGGCAAATTGCCCATTAAATTGCTTTATAGTCGTCACCAGGTTGTTAGGTTCTGTACTTCGGTTTAATCAACTGCTTTAAGGTTTCGATAACTCGAAAATGTTTGATTGGTGAGCGATGATCATTCGAGCGTCCTGTTCAACATTCCGCCAGAAGATGTTGAAAAAATTCAACCCGAAAGATTTTCTAGACCGGACCAGCAATCGAACCCGTCGAATTCAACTTGATAATACCGTACCTTAACTGCCTATGCTATAAGAGGGCCCTCCGTCAATTCCATATGTTCCAATTTCATCATCCCATGCAAACTCGATAACTACTGAACGCTTAAACGCTGCTTGCATGTGCGCGACGAAAAACCACAATCAAATTGTATTTCTTAATTAGTTTTCAAAAGCATGCGAAACAGGTGTCTGCAACGACTGTGAACCCCAATTCGATTCCATTTTCATCGTCGTTTCCGACTGTGAGATATCTACTTCGCGCTGACGACAACGACGACTGGTGAAAGGTGTTGAACTCATTCGAATAACCTTAAATTATTCGACAGCGTCTGATCACATCCGACCAACAAACCAACCAACCAAGTAGGTAGCTGATTCAAATCCAAAGGTTCCATTTTTCACCGGATCAGCAACAAAATACGGGATAATAAAAAAATATGTACACACATCCTACCTCTACACAGCGTGGAACCCAGGAAATCGCAGAACAATCATCGAACAAGGTCAACGATTTCCAATCTTGCTGCAGTAGTGCTCCGATTTTATTACCATTTACCAGTCAGTTGAGTTCTTATTATAACATCTGGTCAGCTGCCATTAAAGTGAAAAACAGTGTCGCACAACTTTGCCGACGTTTAATGGTTCAGAAAATCGAGCCGCTACTGTGCCGACTAAAGCGCCCCATCCACTCTCCTCACCCTTCTCCGCAACCGCTTCGTAATGGATGGTATGTGGCGGCGACGACATCGAAGTCGATCGCTGGCGTCGCACAATTTTGCGCCGAAAATTGATTTCACATTGTTTAATTTACGCTCGCTTTCCGGCAACATCGTTGCCCCAACCGCCAGGGGAAAAAAAACGGACCATTTTACGGTGCGGGTTCGAAACGGTCCTGTGGTTCGATGCGCAATCAATTTTCATTGCCATTTTCCGTTCCGGTTTCTCGCCTCGTGTTGTTTTCCCGCCCCTAGTGGTGGTACACTGTTTTTCACTTCCGAGCACAACCTATCCCAAGTTGATGAAATTTTAGGGTAGGCTGCTGAACTGTGCTTTGTGGGGGGGGGCGTGAGGGAAAGGAATGATAAAGGGAAAACTATTGTTCCACACCGTTGTACATGATTTCAGTTACGATGTTGGGTGCTGTTGGGATTGGAATGGCGGTCTTTGATGGTTGGGGTGGATTGAGAAGAGGAGGGGTGGGGGGAAGACAATCGAGACAGCGTCGGTGAAAATTTCGATGGCCTAGGAATTGTTGGAAAATTGATGGTACATTTTGATTGTGGTGGGATTGGGCGCCGAACGATGGATGCGAAGCGTTTTTCGGCACTTACAGCGCACTATTCGGCATGTGGAATGAGGCAATAGAATATCAAAAGGAAGAATCGCGGATGAAAACATAACATTGATCAAATCTTCACTTCAAACAACTTATGAAGAAAAGGATTATGGGTAATTTGCCCTACTTAAATGATTAACAATCAGATATAGTTTGGTCAAACGGTTTTCAGACAGACACAAAACCTTGAAGAATACGCTAGACCAATTCAGTCGAACTAAGACAACTACTCACGATGTTTCGTAAATGTTATGACCAGAAAAAAAAATAAGTAGGTGAATTTGATTTCCCTACCAATTTGATTAAAAATCGATTTCCAATCGATTCTGCATAATTTACATCAACACATTTCAACCTGTCCGATACCGTTCATGCCTATCCTCGATCAATCCGGAATGCAACCCAAACTGACAAGGGGTTCATCTTGAAAGCTTTTCCGAGTAAGTCCAAATTGAAAAGGGTAGTTTTTGGACATCGACCAGTCCCTTACAAGGCATTCAATTATTGTTTTGAGCTTAAACTATAAGAATCCGATTGTGGAGCTGCTCGCTGACGTGCCTTCAACCACATTCTATACGAGCGAACTCTAGCGAATGGACCAAAACCGCAGAGAAAACAAAAAATGAAGAATACAAAATACCATCACCCTTGCGGGGACAACAGCCATACGACGAACTGGTCCAATTCTAGTAGGTAGTGATTAATTTTATCTTCTGTTCCTTTCCGGTCCAATTCAGGTTGGTCGTACTTGAAAAACCCCGGTCATTTGGGGAAGGGCGAGGGGGGCTGCTATTTTG